CCTCCATGACTTTATCTCACTTCTCTTTAAACTCTATTCTAGTTCTAGCCTTCACAGCCTCCTGCAGCAAGGAGTTCCACAGGTTGACTATTTGGTTTGTGAAGAAGAACTTTCTGTTGTTAGTTTGAAGCCTGCTACCCATTCATTTCATTTGGTGTCCTTTAGTCCTTCTATTATGGGAACTAATGAAGAACTTTTCTTTATGCATCCTCTCCACACCACTCATGCTTTTATAGACTTCTATCATATCCCCCCTCAGTCTCCTCTTTTCTAAGCTGAAAAGTCCCAGTCTCTTTCGCCTCTCTTCATATGGGACCTGTTCCAAACCCCTGATATTGTAGTTGCCCTCCCCTGTCCCACCTCCTTTTCCCAGTCTCCCCAAGTTTTGTTAAATAAAGAGAGTTTCTATTTTTGAACACACGTGTCTTTTATTTTGTACATCAGGAAGGGGGGCTAGGGAGGGGTAAGTGGAAGGAGGTGAGGGAAGAATGGGGTACGCGCCCCCGATGGGAAGGACTGGGCTGGCTCTGCGGGTTCCTCGGGGTGGAAGCTCTCCTGAAGCCCCTCGATTGACACTCCCACCCAGATGGCAGCCTGCGGCAAGTGCAGCCGGTCTGATGGCCGAGTGCTGTGATGTGCCGAGTGTGGGCACTCAGGGCACTCCAAGCCAGGACTGCTTTGCAAGCGGGGAACCCCTGAGAACTGTCTGTCTGGGGTGGGGGTCGGGACCCTTTAAGCACAGCTCTCGGCTAGCCTGAGACAGCAGCTCCACGCTCTAAGTCCTCCTCTGATGCCCTGCCGGCACTGCTTCCGGCCATCCTTAACCTCGGTTCAGGGTCCACTCAGTGAGGACATGCTAGTTCAAATTAGCAAAATGCTAATTCAAACTAGTTTTTAAGTCTAGATGCGCTAATTTGAATTAGCTTAGTTAGTTCGAATTAGCGCTGTAGTGTAGACATACCCTACTTGTTTTATGAGTTATGGGAGTGTGTCCCCCGTGGCAGAGATGTCCATCAGTCCTAAATGGAAGAGAGAGGGTTAACCTCAACTAGCTTCAAGGAGATAAAAACTCGTGCTTTTTCTTAACTAGACTTGTACATTAAATTAAGCCATGTCTACACTGCCACTTATATTGGTCAACCGGTATTATTTTATTTGCATATTTACATATTCATTATGCAAATAACAGATATGTAAATGTGCAAATAAAATGATACCAGTCTGCCAAAATATGTGCTCTGGCCCCCAGAGACACCACAAACAGCTAGCTTCAGCAGCAGCAGCTGCCCGCCACGTAGTGGCTGCTGGAACTGAAGCTGTCTGCTGTGCAGTGGCTCAGGACCAGGGTTGGGATACAAGATTCCCTTGATTACATGAACTTATTCAGTATGCCACATGATGGTCAAATAGGGATTGTACTGTGGACTAAAACAGGTCTCTCATTAAGTAAAAAATTACAAGTCTAGCGGTAGGGCAGGAAAAAGACAAGACTGAAGTATTTTGAAGAAAAGAGAGGGAGAAAGTTTAAAGGGCAGTGCTGTTGGAATAGCTTGTGGAATATTATCTGTATCCAGAGGAAAATGTGACTTTATATCTTAGTCTTAAAATTGTATTAAAATAATTGAAAACTTAATAGCAAAAATGTAGGATAACTCAGGCTCATCAGCATTTACAATGGTTAAATTTACAAGAAAATCCTAATAATGTTTGCTAATTTTAGAAATGTGACTTTCAGATCACCCAAACTGGGATTAGAGAGAAATGTCTCTCTTTTTGGTATACCTACATAAGAATGACTGTACCAGGAAAGATGAAAGGTCCATCTAGCCCAGTATCCTGTCTGCCAACAGTGGTCAATGCCAGATGCCCCAGAGGGAGAGAACAGAACAGGGGATCATCAAGTGATCCTTCTCCTGTCACCCATTCCACAGCCCAAACGTGCACTGTGTGAAGAAAAGTTTCCTTTTGTTTGTTTTAAACCTGCTACCTATTAATTTTGTTTGGTGACCCCTAGTTCTTATGTTATGGGAGCAAGTAAAAAACTTTCCCTTATTCACTTTTTCCACATCACTCATGCTTTTATAGATCTCTGTCATTTCCTCCCATAGTTTCCTCTTTTCTAAGCTGAAAAGTCCCAGTCTTTTTAATCTCTCTTCATATAGGATCCGTTCCAAACATCTAATCATATTTGTTGCCCTTTTTTTAACCTTTTCCAATACCAATATTTTTTTTGAGATGAGGTGACCACATCTGTACACAGTATTCAAGATGTGGGTGTGCCATGGTTTTATGTAGAGGTAATGGGATATTTTGTATCTTATTCTCTATCCCCTTTTAAATGATTCCTAACATTATTTGCTTTTCTGACCCTGCTGCACATTGAATGGATGTTTTCAGAGAACTATCCACAGTGACTCCAAGATCTCTCTCTTGAGTAGTTATAGCTAAATTAGTCCCCATCATTTTCTATGTATAGTTGGGATTATTTTTTCCAATGTGCATTGCTTTATACTTACTAACATTACATTTTATTTGCCGTTTTGTTGTCCAATCACCTAGTTTTGTGAGATCTTTTTGAAGCTTCTCACAGTCTGCTTTTGTCTTAACTTTCACAAAAAGTGCTTTTGCGGAAAAACGTCCGTGCCAATCTAGATGCTCTTTTCCGAAAATGCTTTTAACGGAAAAACTTTTCCGTTAAAAGCATTTGTGGAAAATCATGCCAGTCTAGACGTAGCCCTAGTGAAATAGTTTTCCCTAATATCCAACATAGACCTTTCCCACTGTAACGAGACCATTGTTCCTTGTTCTGCCATCCATCACTGCTGAGAACAGCCTCTCTCCATCCTCTTTGGAACTTTCCTTCAGGAAGTTGAAGGCTGCTATCAAATCCCCCCTCACTCTTCTCTTCTGCAGACTAAACAAACGAAATCCCTCAGTCTCTCCTCATAGGTCACGCTCTCTAGCCCACTAATCATTTTGGTCACCCTCCACTGGACCCTCTCCAATGCGTCCACATATTTTCTATAGTGGGGGGCCCAGAACTGGACACAATACTCCAGATGTGGCTTCACTAGAGCTGAATAAAGGGGAATAATCACTTCTCTGGCTCTGCTGGCAGTGCTCCTCCTAATGCACCCTAATATGCCATTCGCCTTCTTGGCTACAAGGGCACACTGTTGACTTATATCCAGCTTCTCATCCACTGTAATCCCCAGGTCCTTTTCTGCAGAACTGCTACTTAGCCATTCGGTCTCCAGCCTGTAACAATGGTTGGGGTTCTTCCGTCCCAAGTTGTTGAACCTCATGAGACTTCTTTTGGCCCAATCCTCTAATCTGTCCAGGTAACTCTGGACCCTATCCCTGCCCTCCAGTGTGTCTACCTTTCCCCCTAGCTTAGTGTCATCTGCAAACTTGCTGAGGGTGCAATCCATCCCCTCATCCAGGTCATTAATAATGATGTTAAACAAAACCGGTCCTAGAACCGATCCTTGGGGCACTCTGCTAGAAACTGACCGCCAACCTGATATCAAGCCATTGATCACTACCTGTTGGGCCCGACAGTCTAGCCTGCTTTCTATCCATCTTACAGTCCATTTACCCAATCCATATGCCCTTAACTGGCTGGCAAGAATATTGTGGGAGACCATATCAAAAGCTTTGCTAAAGTCAAGGTATATCACATCCACTGACTTTCGTATATCCATAGAGCCAGTTACCTCATAATAGAAGCTAATCAGATTGATCTGTTTCTAATGATTGACTCCTCCACTTGTCATTTGTTTATAGCGACTTTCACGGTGTATCTTTGTAAAGCTGGGCACATTGGTTGCCCTTTGTGGTTCGTGTCACCCTGAAAAAGGGAAACTTTAGTAAGAACAGGGTCTTGCAAAGGCAGTGGTTGGGGAAAGATGCAGACCTGAGGGTACTATAATCCAGTGACTAGGTTAAATTGACCAATTGCCTTTTCCTCCCAACCCCATGTTATGAGGGTGTTGGGAAGGCTTGTGAGGCATTCAGGGCCCTTTGCGCCCACACTGGTATTAGCCCAGACCCACCTGCACTACTGAACAAGGCCCTTCTGGCGGCACTGAGGGAAGGAGACTGCCCACAACGAAAGGGGCCCCCAGTAATCTCATGAGGTCCTTGCTGGGAGAGGGATGCCTGTTCCTCATGGTGCCCCTCTCCATAGTGTGGCCACTGAGCCCTCTCCTCTCCCCACCAGAGAAAAACCCTAAGTCCATGGCCTCTCACCTGCCAAGCCCAGTTGGGTGGTGTTGGCTGCAGGCGCAAGAAGCAGAGGTAGGCAAGCTGGG